GCAATCCTACTTCCGTAGTGATACTGCCTCGGAAACCCAAGGAGGGGTCGCTATGAGTCAGGTTTGACTTGACGGCACATAACAACAACAACAACAATATATTAAGATATGTATGCTGTCTCTCTCTCTCTCTCTACACACACACACACACACACATATATAAATACAAACAAAACCAAATTCACTGACTGCTGTAGAGTCGATTCTGATTCATAGCAAACCCTTTTGCGTTTCCAGAAGTAGATCACCCCATCTTTCTTCTGAGGAGCAGCTAGTGGGTTTGAACCACTGACCTTCTGTTTAGCAGCCAAATGCCTTATCTACTACATCACCAGCGCTCCTTATATACATATATACACATGTATATACATTATAAATTAATATATATTTTAAATATATAGTGTGTTAATATATATTTTAAATATATATAGTGTGATCCATACGATCCATATTGAAAAATGTCATGTTTTAGGTTAAAAGAAACTTTCAGAAATTATGTCTTCTTGAAGGGACTCCAAGTCAGGCACATCATGTAACAAAAATCATATTACAGTGGCTTATCTATCTCTAGGCTTCATGGATATCAACAGATACCAGGTCACATCATTTTGTCTGACCTACATGACTTCGTGTAGGTCAAATGTCTGCCTGATATTTAGTCTTGAAATTCCTCCTTTTTATTATGCTAGGTCATTTTGGAAGAAAATACCTCTCGGCTAAAAACAAAGACCACTTTTTTAAAGTTTGAAATGAACCAAGTGATTTGGCTTGCAATTACATTGTCTAGAGTTAGTACTGGTTAATTCTAGTGGGTGAAAACAAATATTTATAATACAGTCAAATAAATATCAGTGTGTTCATTAGCACTTGAACTCTGGGAATATCTCCTTTTCTAAATTGTGTTGATGATTTTATATTAATTGGATTATTTCCCATAGCCATTAGAGGTGCTTATTATCTGCTCTATTTTTTCTTAATCTGCATGATTCTTTTCAGTTTTAAAATATGCTTTATACAATCTTCAAGAGCATGAGTGCATTTTTGGGAACAACATTAGATTGTTGGTGGCTGTTACTGATCCTTTCTTGACTTTTGACCTAAAGGACAGCAGTGGGTTATACTGCATTCAGTATATCTATAAACCAAACTCAACCCACTGCCATTGAGTCAATTCCATCTCATAGTGACCCTCATTGGGTTTCCAAGGCTGTAAATGTTTATGGAAGTAGATTGCCCCATCTTCCTTCCACTGAGCAGTTGGTGGGTTTGAACTGCCGACCTTCTGGTTAGCAACCAAATGCCTTACCCACTATGCCACCAGAGCTCCTTCAGTGTATCTATACTGACGGGTATATAGAATTGTAATAATATAAAACTGTAATAATACAATGAGACTCAGGAACTATAGGAGTGAACCCTTGGATATGTATTTTGATGGTTCTTTTTAAGCTCTCTATTGGTGGGACATGGTGGTATGGGTAGGAAGGAAGAAGTATGTCATAAGGAGTATGTCCCAAAGTTCCAAAGGAAAAAGTTTTTTTCACTGTCAGAAACTAAAAACTATTTAGTTTTAAAACTTAAAAACCATCCAAATAAATTATGAAGTTCAAGTCATTGTTTTGATATGTTTTTACAGAATTATAAAAATCACACATTTGATTTTTTAAGATAGAAAATGAAAAACAAACTAGATTGAGAGTGCCGTCTAATGTAAAAACCTACTACTCCCACATTCAAATGATCAATTCTGTTCCTTCTGAATCTTTTTTGTTTTTTTAAATCTATACTGCAGTCTCCTCTTCTAAGCTTAGCAGCCAATATAGGTAAGTTAGAAAGGTGGTTTTCAGCTCTCTGCTTACATAAACCTTCCTTAAGTTTTATAAAATATTATTGTATAATAATTGTATTGTAATCTAATATGCAATGCAGATATATTAATATTAAACTTGATAAGAAAACATCAGAATGATCCACAGTTTATCTTCTATACTCTTCTGCACTCAAGGACCATCTTTGAGAAAGAAATTGTTCCTTCCTGGGCTAACTGAACTTTTTGAGTGTTCATTTACTTCATGTATTTAAAAACAAACAAGCAAACAAAAAGCACTTATGACTGACTTGATTCCAGCTCACAGCCACTCTATAGTACAGAGTACAACCGCCCCATAGTATTTCTAAGGCTCTAATCTTTAGGGAAGTGGATTGCCACTTTTTTCTCCTGCAGAACAGCTTTAAACCTTTGATGGGTTCTAACCATTGACCTTTCTGTTAGCAAAACCCAAACCAAACTCACTGCCGTTGAGTTGGATCCAAGTCATAGCGACCCTTCCTTGGGTTTCCCATGTGATATCACTACGGAAGTAGATTGCCCAATCTTCCTTTTGAGGAGTGGCTGATGGGTTTGAACTGCCAGCCTTCTGGTTAGCAGTAAAATGCCTTAGGCACTACACCACCAGAGCTCCTGAGGGCATAACCACTGAGTCATAAATGCTCCTTCCATCACATATAAAGAGGGAAGAAACTAAAGCAAGTCCTATAAGCAAAAATAAAAGCAATGATGTGGAATTTGAACCTACCCAGCTTTGGTAATGGATAGTTGATATCAAAGTAGTTTTCATAAAAATCAAACAGCTTCAGTGATACATCCAAAGCATAATGTGTTTGATTCCATTTGTCTGGGGATGCATAGATGGACACCTGGGAAATGTAGATCAGAAGAAGTGATCTTTGAATGACAGCTCCTTGGTACAATTTCATTCCTGATAACCCTCACCCAAAGAAAGACAGACTTCATTTTTCAAGAAAGTATTGAGATACCATTAAGCATGTTGTCAATAGGGGATAAGAAGTTCTGTTAAGTATAAAAAAAGCAAAATGCAATCTTGAGAATTAGCAATGATTCTGCAGCTATTACAATCCATCCTCTAGTGCTAATCTAAATATTTCAAGCTATTTGAACACATTATATCATGAGAAACTGCTTGAGTGCGTTGCTATAATATACCCTACTGCTTGAGAACTAGCCTTCCAAAACTGTGACCACTTACACAATTCAGAAAAAATATAGGTATAGGATGTGCAAGATCCTTCAAGAATTTATTGGATCCATGATCCTGTTAGTTTTCTTTAAATGAAAAAATATTCAAGTATATTAACTGACTTTCCCAAAGTAAGTATTAAGTGGGGAAAAAAAAACCAAAATAAACAAACAAAAAAACTGAGATTATATTATATTATTTGTAAAAACTATGCATATATAAACAGTATATAATGTTAACTGTGTATACACACATATACAGATATGCACACAGAAAAAATTTGGAAGGCATATACTCTAATTTTATCAGTAGTTACATCTTGTTGTTGTTGTTGTTGTTATTTGCCATCGAGTCGGCCCCGACTCATAGCGACCCCTCCTTGGGTTTCCAAGGCAGTATCACTATGGAAGTTGGAATGCCCAACCTTCCTTCCGAGGAGTGGCTGGTGAGTTTGAACCGCCAGCCTTCTGGTTAGCAGTCAAGTGCCTTAGGCACTATGCTACCAGAGCTCTCTAGTTAGATCTTAGTGATGTGATAATGGATAACTTTTTATTTATTTATTTATTTATGCCAATCACTCTTTAGTAAAATAAGCAAAATGCTTCAATAATAAAGAAAAACAAATTGAGAAAATAAAAAATTATTGCCCTTAGGACACTATTCTGCACCATGTGTGAAAGTAGAACTCAATCTCACCTTGACCCCTGATGAGGTTGTACCACTCACAGAGTTGAAATCACAAACTATATAGGCTACAAGATAAGTACTCATTTTTACAGTTGCTTCAAAATGATCTTCCAAGAGTCCTCCTTCAAGTTCAATTGTCTTAACCTACAAGAAGGAAAAGGAATTAGTATTTGAAAACCAGAGTATTTAACCACGAGTCTATGACTTAAGGCAGATGAGTCAGAGGAAAGTGTTACACTAGGAAGTGTGTTTCCTTGCAGAAGATCAAAGGCCTCTGTTAACATCCTGGGGCCTCTCATTGCTCTATATGTTTTATATGAAAAAATACTCAAGTATATTAACTGACTTTCCCAAAGTAAGTATTAAGTAGGAAAACAAAACAAAACAAACCCTGAGATTATATTATATTATTTGAACTTCCTCAAAGTCTTACTTCCTCACAGTATCACTGTTTAGAAAACTCCAAAATGATACCAAATCTTATTTTGTTGTTTGAAAGCACCAAAACATCATAAATACTTCTATTTAAACATTGACATAAATTCAAGTTCTGGATTTCTAAGCAAAAATACCAGAGACTTGCCCCCTTTCTTTTGTTTGTTGTACAGTAAATAAATTCTGTGGGAGAAGGAAAGGGAAAGCAGAGTTGTGCAAGATGCTTTGCATTATCTTTTATTCCTCATACTCTGTTGGGGTGAGGTAGGTGTTATTTCACAGGTCAGGAAACAGAGGCTCAGGTGCTAACTAAATTTCTCAAGATCACACGGCTAGTTCCACCACAGGACCGAGATGTGGTTATAACTTCGTGACTTCAAAGACATTGCTCATTCTTTCACTCATTGTGTGACAGCTTGAGTCATAGTCTTATTTTATCTTTGCTTCATTGATTCAGCAATGAAAGCATTCAGGCCATGGAGGTCATTAGTAATTTAAACTTCTGCCCATCTAGTGGGGCAGCAGGGCATTTAAAGCCTACAGACTGGTCAGCTCCATCCATCAAATTCACTAGATAATGACTGAATTCTGTCTTCATTTGGTCTAGCTAGCTTTTCCAGAAGATGGTCTTCACCATGGTATAAGATCTCTAAATACTGAGTGGACAAACCAAAGCAAACCCATTGCCATTGAGTTGATTCTGGGTCACTATGAATAGGAATCAACTTGATGAAAGAGGGTTTGGACTCAATACTGAACGGATTAAAAAAAAAAAAAACAAACTTCAGTGCCATGGAGTGCATTCAGACTGAGTGACCCCTTTGGGTTTCCAAGGCAGTTAATCTGTACAGAAGTAGATTGCCCAGTCTTCCTTCCACAGAGTGGCTTATGGGTCACTGAATGGACAGAAATACAGTAATCTGAAAATACCACTTTTTTTCAAATTGGTAACAGCTCTGAGACTTGCTCTTTTTTTTTTTTTCCTTCTTCCTTTCAGGGACTCAGTCTTATGGCAGTGCTGATCACATCTTACTGTCTCAATGGTCTAATAGCCATATTTGTACCCATTCCAAAGAAAGGTGATCCTCCAGAATGTGGAAATTGTAGAACAATATCATTAATATTGCACGCAAGTAAGAGCTTACTGAAGATAATTCAAAAACAGTTGCAGCAGTATATTGACAGAGAAGTTCCAGAGATGCAAGCTGGATTCAGAAGAGGATGTGGCACAAGGGATATGATAGCTGTTGTCAGATGGATCTTGGCTCAAGGCAAAGAATACCAGAAAAATGTTTACTTGTGTTTTATTGATTACGCAAAGGCATTTGATTGTGTGGATCATGAAAAATTATGGATAACATTGAGAAGAATGGGAATTCCTGAACACTTGATTGTACTCATGAGGAACCTGTCTGTACCTTGACCAGGAGGCTGTCATTCAAACGGAACAAGGGGACACTGCATGGTTTAAAATCAAGAAGGGAGTGTGTCAGGGTTGTATCCTTTCCCCACACTTATTCAATCTATATGCTGAGCAAATAATCCGAGAAGCTGGACTATATGAAGAAAAACATGGCATCAGAATTGGAGGAAGAATCATTAACAATCTGAGATACACAGACGATACAACTTTGCTTGCTGAAAGTGAGGATGACTTGAGGCACTTACTGATGAAGGTTGAAGAATACAGTCTGCTGTATGGATTACATCTCAATATAAAGAAAACAAAAATCCTCACAACTGGAACAATGAGCAGCATCACAGTAAATGGAGAGAAGATTGAGGTTGTCAAAGAATTCACGTTGCTTGGTTCTGCAATTGATGCCAATGGAAGCAGCAATCAGGACATTAGACGACGTGTAGCATTGGGAAGGTCAACCGTGAAGGAACTGTTTCAAGTGCTGAGGAGCAAGGATATCTCCTTGAGGACTAAGGTGCACCTGACACAAGCCATGATATTTCCAATCGCCTGGTATGCATGTGAGAGCTGGACAATGAATAAGGAAGACGGAAGAAGAGTTGATGCTTTTGAGTTGTGGTGCTGGCGAAGAACGCTGAAAATACTATGGGCTGCTAAAAGAACTAACAGATCTGTCCTGGAAGAAGTGCACCTGAAATGCTCTTTGGAAGCGAGAATGGCTAGACTTCGTCTCATCAACTTTGGTCATGTTGTCAGAAGGAACCATTCCTTGGAGAAGGATGTCATGCTTGGTAGGGTGGAGGGTCGACGAAAGAGGGGAAGGCCTTCAATGAGATGAATTGACACGGTGGCTGCGATGATGGGCTCAAGTATAGCAGGGATAGTGGGGCTGGCACGGGATTGGGCAGTGTTTCGTTCTGCTGTGCATGGGGTCGCTATGAGTCGGAGATGACTAGACGGCACCTAACAACAACTAACAACTGAGACTTGCTCTTTTTTTTTTTTTTTTTCCTTCTTCCTTTCAGGGAGTCAGTCTTATGGCAGTGCTGATTACATCTTACTGAGCATGTTTTGTATGTTTGGATTAGATTCTAGTTTGCTTTGATGAGAGAAATTAGCTTGAAACATTACCGCAAACTGCCTAGCTGATTTCAACGGCAAACGTTTGTGGTATTATATTCTACACAATTTAATTGTATAGAATTCTATTGAAAAATCAATTCCAAATTCCAATAAAGCAAAAAACACTGACCAAATACTATCAGCTTCGAAGAAAGTTAGGCATATATGCAGGGATGTAATCTTTTACCTTTAACAAGTAAATTGGGTCTTTGTTTCCCTCTTCTAACAGAGAGGCCCTATCTTATGGTGAGGACAGGAAGGGATATGATTGTGGTCTTCTGACCAAACATAGCTGTTAAACCTTTGGGACAGGTATAAAGGGATGCATGAGGGAGGAGGTAAGGCTGTGGGACTATGGGAAAATAGCCTGGGATGCTAGGGGTAGAGATGGCTGGAAAACAGAGGGGCATTCATTCTGGTTTCTCTCCCAAGTTAAAGATGTAGCCCATAAAGGCTGAGTTTTGTTCAGGAACCTGGAAAAACCCATGCAGATTAACATTGCCATAAATGGAAGTGTCTAGAGTGTTATTGAGGAGCTCTGGTAGCATAGTGGCTAAGGCACTTGACTGCTAACCAGAAGGTTGGCGGTTCAAACCCACCAGCCACTCCTCAGAAGGAAGGTTCGGCAATCCTACTTCCGTAGAGATACTGCCTCGGAAACCCAAGGAGGGGTCGCTATGAGTCGGGGCCGACTCGACGGCAAATAACAACAACAACAGAGTGTTATTGAAGGAGCTCTGGTAGCACAGTGCCTAAGGCACTTGACTGCTAACGGGAAGGCTGACAAATGACAACAACAACAACAGAGTGCTATTATAAGTTCTTCCAGAATGGTGATGTAAGCTCCAAGTATAACACACTTGTATCTGGACAAAGTTTATCTGTTTTCTCAATGCTGGCAGGACTCTATATGCATAAAACCTGTCACCAGGTGTGTTCCCTTAAGGAATAAAGATAACAAAGACATGCCACAAAAGATATGTCGTCTCTACTACTATTTGAAGAGTCCCTGGGTGACACAAATGGTTGAGCGATATAGACTACTAGCTGAAAGCTTGGTAGTTCAAACCCACCAAAAAGCACCTCTCAAGACAGGCCCGGGAATCTACTTTTGAAAGATCACAGCCTAGAACACCCAATGGAACACAGTTCTACTCTGTACACATGGGTCCTCATGAGTTGGAATCAACTCCATGGCAACTAACAAGTATTACTGCTTGGGGGGGCCACCTCACTCCCTTAAATCTTGTAACCTCAACTAAACAAATTAAGACATTCATATGTGTGTTTTTTTCCCAACAGTACGTAATCCATCTTAAGTGCTGCAACAGCTATTGCAGAGAATATGGGAACCTGGGTTGGATACATCGATGAGAAGCCAAAAATTAAGCAAGTATTTGCTGAATTGAGCCTGACCGAAAGAGCTGATCCAGTCAACTGAGGGAATACAATTAGTCAATAATTTTATAGAATATTTACAAAGTGATTACTTTTTAAAAATAATGTTTTAAAGCATGAGAAGTTACTGCAGGTTTCTGAAGATAGAAAATTGCAATTCTAATATAATAATGATATTACATATGGTAATGGAAGTTTCCGTTTGCATCATATTTTATTTTAAATAAAAACAAATAAAACTATTGTAAATAATGCAATTAAAATACTTTGAAATGCTTTATTAATTTGTATTTTCACTTTACTTTCCATGGTTATTCATTTGAAAATTTATATTAATAATAAAAAGCTTCCAGGAAAGGGATTGAAATGATAAACTGCCCTTAAATTAACATGTTAGAAAGAAGATTCAGAGATGAGGCAGCACATCATTTTACCTGAAAACGAGAGTTAATTAAATTGCTGTCTGTACAATCATGGAAAAACTGTGAGATATGTGTCACGTAGAGCACCACATTTTCCCTTGACCTGCTCTGCCAGTATTTCAGAGCAAATATCTTTTCTAGCATTAAAAAGAAATCTGGGGAAATGCTCATTTCTCTTATCTGTAGTGGCCATTTACCGTGTAGGGCAGAGAGGAGAGCAGGCATGGGGCCACTTGCTGGCTGAGCTGGCTGCTTTTCATGCTGTTCACTGTAGCAGGGATGAGGAAATATTTTACATTTCGTTCAATAGCACAAATGGCAAGCACATCATTAGTGAGGAAGTATCAAATGAGGCTCTGAGTCGGCAGGGTCTCTCAAGGTCTCTGCATTTGAGTATCGTATAAGCCAAATAAATGGATTCAGAGGCCTCTTTCAATTAAAAATTGTATTTATAACTATAATAAATAGTTTTCACATCCAAAACACAATAAAAAGTTTTTTAAAAATAGTTTTTATAAATAACATTAAGAACTACTTATGGAGCTTTTTTTTTTTTAAAAAAAAAAAAAGATTTCTTAGCACCATTATAAACTATGAGATCAGAATTTCCTGGGATAGGGCCCAGGCAGGGTCCTCTAGGTCCTTATTATTCCAGATGTGGCACCTGAACCAACAGCAGCAGCATTACCTGGGAGCCTGTTAGAAAAACAGAACTTGGATCCTCACCCTGAATCTAGTGAGTCAGAACCTGAAGTTAAACAACTCCTCAGGTGACTCATTTGAACATTTGAGTCTGAGAAACACTGCTGCTGTAGGTGATTCTGAATCTCAGCCCTGGTCAAATAATACTGGTTTAACAGAACTGTTTTCGTATAAGCCGAAATAAATCACTTTGAAATCACTAGAAATAACTCTTTTAAAAATAAATCTTCTTGTGGAACAATGCCCCAAACAGAATGATGTTAAAGTCTAGAAGCACTGATATTATTATATAGTATGTCAATAGATGAAAATAAGTTAATAGCTTAAATCCTGAAAACAAAGGAAAATACCCAAGCTCAACCTGCAGAAGATACCCCAAAGTTTCTGAAAGTGGCCATACCTTCGGCATGTTGGATAGAGCAATGTGTTTGCTCTCTCTTCTTATCTTGATTGAAAAGTTGGCTTTGAACAATGGTTCATCAAAGCAAGGGAAAGCCATACGTGCCTGGGTTGGCTCAAAATCCGTTACTGCAATTACTCTGAGAATAGACATGCCCCAGCCAGAATACATAAATGAAAACAAGAAGAGAAATGAATTCTTACCTTCAGCAAACAGCTTATCAAATCTGGAGTTGACACATTTAATTTATCAAACTACAGTCTTACTGAATCCAGACTCTCTCTTTGAAGAAAACTAATGTAAAGTAATATTTAGTGACTGCCAACTATAAGCAACACATTGTGCTGAGTACTTTACTTACATGATCTCCTTAATCCTCATGGCAGGCAAAGTTATTGAGGCTTAGAGAATTTGACTGACTTTATCAAGATCCTTAACTAGTACATGGCTAAGATAGGACATACACCCAGTGATCCTGATCTCAAAACTGACTGTGAAGTTTTAGGTCAGTACTATCTCCAAACCTGAGGAGATCCAGGTAGATATTTGAGTAACTATGTATATGAGTAATGTCTTAGGTCAAGTGCCCCAGAAGCAGACTCTGATTTATTAAGAAAATGTTTCCAGGAGAAATAGGTAGGGGAGTGAGGAAAGGAGGACAGGGAAGAGAAAGCAGCTAGGCAAGGGTGCCATTTCAGGCAAAGAGCAGAGCTTTCCTACTCTTGTACCATCGTGGGCTAAGAGTCTCCATGTTGTTGTTGTTAGGTGCCATCAAGTAGGTTTCAACCAGAAGAGCTAAACTCCCAGACACTGTTAGCTCCTCTGTGCTTGCCAGAAAGAGAGTCTTCAGATGATGGCAGGTAGATAGATCTGACAAATCTCTATCCCCCATTCCCTCAAGGATGCCTGACACTGCATAATTATAGATTTATACTTTGGACTTTATCTTCAAATAAGAAGCAAATCTGAAGGTCAGATTTTCACTGGAGAAGGAGAGGAGAACAGAAAAGCTAAAGTGTCAGATATGGGATGAGAATGGCCAGGAGTAAAACAAGATGGGCTGCCTGGATAATTTTGTCTCAGCTTACTTTATTTCTTCTATGATATAGACTGGGAAAATGAGACTGTGGTTCTAAATGATTTGCTTGGGGCCTCAGAGTTTTATTTGGATTTGATAGCAGTTATTGCAAACAAGGGATTTCAAGTTTCTGGAATAATTTTCATTAATGTGAAATTTTGGTTGTAGTAACTCTACATTGGAAAAACATATAATTTCAGATTTGCTTTGCTACTTACACAATTAATTTTAGTTCCACAGGCAAAGGAGTGACTTTCTGCTTCTTAAAAGAACCACTGTTAACTGAATTAGTTTTATGCTTTAGGTGAAGGTATATGTGCGTGTGAGTGTGTGTGTGCCTGTGGAGAGAGAAAGAAACCCATAAGATTCAGTTAACATTGCTCAGCACATTATCTTTCATTTTAGACCTATTAAGTAACTCAGTATGAAAGAGCTGAATGATTAATTGTATGAAGAATCAGAAATATCTTGCAAGTAATGATGGGAGGCATGCTGAACATCTTCCAACTCTTACTCCAACATCCACCTGTCTAGTGGCCCCAAGTTCCCATCATGGTATCATTAAAATATATTTCCTTTGAGTGGAGCCTTTGTCACTTGAACAAATGAGAAAAGAAATCATTGGTCACATAGTGCCTTTAGAATGAACTGAGGCATTTCCTACCCTGAGAGCAGGTCCCAGAGAATTGAAGCTGACATGAAGCCATGGTAATTTTAATCGCCTCATATGCATGTGAGAGCTGGACAATGAACAAGGAAGATCAAAGAAGAGTAGACACTTTTGAGTTGTGGTGTTGAGAAGAATGCTAAGAGTACCATGGACTGTTAAAAGGACTAACAGATCTGTCCTGGAAGAAGTGCAGCCGAATTGCTCCTTGGAAGTGAGAATGGCAAGACTTCATCTCACCCACTTTGGTCATGTTGTCAGAAGGAACCATTCCCTGGAGAAGGATATCATCCTTGGTAAAGAGAAGGTCAATGAACAAGGGAAAGGCCTTCAATGAGATGGATAGACACAGTGGCTGCAAGATGGGCTCATGTATAGCAAGAATCATGAGGCTGGCACAAGACCGGGCAATATTTTGTTGTGCTGTGCATTGGATGGCTATGAGTCGCAGATGACTCCAGGGCACCTAACAGCAACAACAAAGGAATTCCAGAAGGAGATAGAGAGAAAAAAAAGAACAGAAAGAATATTTGAAGAAATAATGACAGAACATTTCTCCAGTTTAACAAAAGACATGAATCTATAAATCCAAGAAGCTCAAAGAACTCCATGCAGGATAAACCCAAAGAGACTTGCACCAAGACACTTCATAGTCGGGCTCTCAAAAAGTAAAGACAGAGAGAGAATCATGAAGACAGTGAGAGAGATGCAAACAGTCACATACAAAGGACATCCAATAAGACTAAGTGCCAATTTCTTCTCAGAAATGCTGGAGACCAGAAGGCAATGGAATGATATATTTAAAGTGCTAAAAGAAAAACACTGCCAAGCAAAAATACTACAGCCAGTGAAACTGTCCTTCAAGAATGAGGATGAAATTAAAACATTCTCAGAAAAACAGCTGCTGGGCGATTTCATATCCATAAGTCTGACCCTACAAAAGATACTAATAGGAGTTCTGTAGATGGAAGGGAAATGACACTAAAAAGTAATTCAAAGGTAGGCATAAAAAGAAAGATTCTTAGTAAAGGGAACTGCACGGACAGTTATAAGGGCTAGTAGTAAGGTATTCAGCCTCACTAATACAAACTGTTTTGTCATTCATGCTTTTTAATAATAAATATATGAAAAGCAAGGAAAAAATTATGTTACAGGGCAAATGAATTAAAAAGATGTAAACAGCAATAACAACAATAAAAGGGGGAAAGAGAAGTAGTGTAAATATAGAATTCCTCATGTTTTATTCAAGTTAAGTTGGTACCAACTTACCCTGGGATTATTATAAATACAAACTGTTAAATGCAATATTCATGGTAACCTGTAAGAAAATATCTGAAAAAAGATATACAAAAAGAAAGGAGAAGGGAACCAAAATGGCTCACTACAATAAACCAACAGAACACAAAAGCAAACAGTAGTGAAGAAAAAAGAAGCCTTAAGACAAACATAAAACAAATAACAAAATAGCAGTAGTAAGGCACTTCTCTGTAATTACAGTGACTATAAATGGACTATATGTCACAAGGAAAAGGTAGAGAGTGACATATGTGTGTGTGTGTATATATATATATATATATATATATATATATATATAAAATCCAGGTATATGCTATTTACAAGAGACACTTTAAACCCAAGGACATACATAGGTTAAGAGTGAAAGGATGGGGGAAAAAAATTCCATGCATAATAACCAAAGGAGAGCTAGAGTGGCAATCTTAATATCAGACAAAGTGGATTTTAGGACAAAATGTGTTAGAAGAGATAACGATGGACATTAGTGATATAATGGTCAATTAATCAAGAGGATTTAACAATCATAATTACATATTTACCCAACATTGGGTTACCTAAATATAAAGAAACCACTGATAATATTGAAGGTAGAAATAGATAGTACTACAAGACTTCAAGACACCACTTTCAATATTGGATAGAACATCTAGAAAAAAGATCAACAAGGATACAGAGGACTTGAATGACACTATGAACTAATTAGTCTTAACAGACATGTATAGAACATTCTACCCCAAAGCAGCACAAAATATCTTCTACTCCAGTGAACATGAATCATTCCCCAGGATAGACAACATGTTAGGTCACAAAGCAAGTCTTGAAAAATTTTAAAAGATTGAAATCATACAAAGTATTTTCTTTGATCACAAAACAGTGAAGCTAGAAATCAATAACAGAAAAGAAAAACAAAACAGGAAAATACACAAATATACAGAATTTAAATAACACACTATTAAACTACTAATGCTCAAGGAAGAAATCAAAAAAGAAATAATGAAATTCCTAGATTCAAATGAAAATGGAAGAACAATATACCAAAACTTACAGGATGCAGTAATGGCAGTACTCAGGGTGAAACTTATAGCAATAAATGTTTACATGAAAAAAGAGGAAAGATGTCAAACCAACAGCCTAACCCAGTAATGCTAGGAACTAGGAAGAGAAGAGCAAACTAAGCTTACATCTACCAGAATAAAAAAAGTAACAAAGATCAGAGCATAATTAATAAAATTAGAAACAGAAAAACAATATAATCAATAAACAGATGTTGGTTCTTTGACAAGATCAATAAAATTAACTTTTAGTTAGACTGACCAAGAAAAGAAAAGGTAACCAAAAGAAAAATACGAAAGAGGGGATATTACAATTGACCTAACAAAAATAAAGAAAATTATGAAAGAATATTATGAACAAATATACAGCAACAAATCAGATAACTAGATGAAACAGACAAATTCTGAGAAGCACACAACCTACCCAAACTGATTTAAGAGGAAATAAAAAGTCTCAACAGATCCACCACAA